CCCCAAAACCCCAAAACCCCAAAACCCCAAAACCCCATAGCTATAAGTTATTATATAAATTATCCTAGAAAGTAAGTATGCACTAATCTGTTTCTTAAGCTTCTAACTTTATGTAGAATGAAAATACTGCTAGACTTCTTCAAAGCATTTCAGCAGAGAGATGCTGAATTTGCTGTTCTAGAAAGCAAAATTCCCAAAAGTAAACGCTGTAATCACCCATAGGCGGAATTGAACTAATAAACAGCCCGTCCATGTTGTACATTAAAGAGGTATTTGTCTATATCATTCCAGTTCCACCATCACTGAGGGTTGATTTCAAAGCGAATGAATGCTCCATTTCTTGTTAAACTTATACTGATGAAAACCCACCTAAAATGAGTAGTTCAGAGGGTGACACTAATTTGACCAAAAGATAGTTATTGATTTTCTTCTGCATTATAGGATAGTTCAGATTTTTAATTTAGAACAAATTTGTTCATTGGAAAAGGGCAAGAAGCTGTGATGGTGAGCCAAAGTAAATCTATATGTACACAAGTCTATCTAACCATGGTATACCTTAGAGTTAAGTAGAAAAGATGATATATTTGTGCATACCCCAATGAATCAATACATTTTATGTAAAATATTGACCGGCAGTGATGCCAAACACAGAGATTTAAAAATTCAAACGAAGTTTAATATTCTCTTTGTTTGATATTTGCTAGCTCTTTAGAGCATATGGTAGTTATAGCATACAACAATTCATTTATAGGATAGATTCCAATAAGTTTCATAGTTTAGCTCTTTTCATAATTTGAAGGACCTTTTTGTCAGCTCTAATATTGATTATTCTCAAGATCATTCTTTCATCAATTAGTAATAAATTGTGCTTCTACCATCTTAAAAGAAGAAAATGGATATTGAAGATGTTTCTAGGACACTCTTAAATATTTTAGAAAAACTCAGCTATTTAAAGGAAGAAGAATGTCTTCTCATGAACAAAATATATTTTATTTCGAATATAGTCCAGAAAAATCTTGATTTGTGCTCTTTCATGATTCATTATGTTTACAGTAAGCTTTTAATATCATAATAGAGCTTGAAGCAAGGAATGAGTCAGGATCAAGCAAAACATTTTTGAGTTGGATGCTTTATGGCATTTATGTTTCTTACTATAGAATATCTAAACTCAAAATATCCAAATCATTTCCAAACTTTCATCTTACTATTCAATGCATTAGGATATATCTGTACTCATTTAGCCTTCAAGATTACTTCCAAAGGAAGTATAAATTCGCTTATTCCAAGCATATATCTGTACCATTTTTATCTTTCAACCCTGGCTCCTTCCAAGAGACATCTTATGAGTTTGATCTTCGCTCTGACAGTTGTAATGCACACTTCAATTGCTACATACCATTTGGGGGAAATCGATGAAGAACTTATTGTTTCAGGCCTCATGAGCGTTCTATTATCTGACCTTGGCCTCAGGACTAACCAAGCAAGACTCTCTCAGATGTACCAGATGATTTTGGAAAACACAAAGTTGGCTGAAGAGAAGCTGAAGGTTGTGCAGGAATTTCCTCACCCAGTTTTGATACTACCTCAACAGATCGAAGAGTCTTCGAATTGATATTCAAATGAAGAATTTGAAGAGAAGATCCAACCATTAAACCAGGAGATACAAGAACTTAGGCACATCCAAGTCAAGATTGATAAGAAAGATTCGTTGAAGAATCACCAAGAAAGATGATCTCTTCTCCAATATTTGGGGGAAGGTCATAGGCTGGAAAAGAATCAGCCAAAAAGATTGAAAAGAGATGCAATCATTCATTCCAGATATTTCTGCAATAAGTGAGTTTATTTTTACTGTTTGTACAAAACTTGTACTAGAGGCTAACTTTTATGATATAGAGACTTTCCTTCTTTACAAGATTCCATAAATGGAGAAGAAGACGAGCAAAAACAGCTACAGAGAAACTTCAATATTAAATCTCTAAAAATTGAGTGGAAAGGAGTTCCCTCAGTGATGCATGTCTTCATTGACACCACTGACATCATCAAGCTGGAGCAGGCGAAAAACAGGATCAAGATGCAGAAGATAATGTTCGCAAGCGCCAGTCATGAGTTCAGGACTCCACTGAATGCAATCATTCACTCATTCAATTTCATTGAGATCAGCTTTGAAGACTTACTGAAAATTCTGCACCAAAGAGGTGTCGAAGAATTGCTAGGGAACTCAAATTTCTGAGAACAAGTAGAGATTATTTTGAAGTTCCTCAAGACTGGTTCTACTTCATCAGTATTATTGTTAGCTTTAGTAGAAGACATCCTGAACTTATCCAAGATTGACAATGGAACTATTACTACAAAGAGTGACTTTTTTCACATTCCCGACCTTCTTCGTGATGTTCACTCCTTATTCTCTATTCAGTGAGAGAACAAGGGAATTGAGCTGACTGAAGAATTTGATGAGACTCTTCAATTATGTGAAATCAAGAGTGATTGTAAAAGAATCAAGCAAGTTTTGCTGAATTTGGTTTCAAACTCTTTGAAGTTCACCTTTAGTGGGTTCATCAAGATTAAAGCTGAATTTTTCAAGACTCTTGAGGGCTCTGATTTCATAGAGTTTAGAGTTCGCGACACTGGCACTGGTATTAAAGAGCAAGACCAAGAGTGTCTGTTCCAATTGTTTGGAGTCGTTGAGAACAATGGGAATCTCAATCCTGATGGCTGTGGGCTAGGCCTAACAATAAGTAAGAAATATGTAGAAATGCTTGGAGGGGATATTAGAGTTGAGTCAGTATATGGAGAAGGAACAGAGATGATATTTACAATCCTTATTAAAGATATGAAAAGGCTTCCATTTCAGAGACCAATGCAGCAGAATTTGAGCTCAAGTTTCTTTGATGATTTTATGAAAAATGTATCTGGTCTTGAACCCAAAATCAACGAAGAATATAGCGCAAGATTTAAAGCTAACAGAGAGGTTCCTGCAAGTAAATGCAATGTTTCTAGGTTCTCTTATTAACAACTTTCTTGGATAATAATTTTTAACTGAATTAAGGCAAATAATATCTAAAACCTGGCTTTTTTATGGATAAACTCTTTCTAGCAATTTTGAGCTGTTTTTGGAAACACTTTTAAACGCTTCACTTATGTTTCGATCTCCTTTCGGATTGTTCATTCTCCTTACCAAAATTTCATAAAGCATCAAAACTTTGTATTCTCCTATCAATTCTCAAAACATTTTATACTTCAAAAACCTGAATAATCTCAAAATTTCTTATTAAAATTATTCCATCTCTAATTATACTTAAAAGACATAAAATTCGATTCTAACCGCTCAAAAAATGTTCTTTTCCCGCTCCGCTGCCAATAAAACTCATAATTCTCTAATCTTTAAATGCTCCATATTTATATTAAATATTACTCTCAATAAACTAGCCTTCGGGGTTTTGGGGTTTTGGGGTTTTGGGGTTTTGGGG